ACACACACACAACCCCAATAAACAAATAACACCCCCAAAAATATATAATATAGATCTAGTGAAGAGATAAACAAAGTTCATTTGTTTTTGTAACATGTTTACTCCCTGCCGCCGGCGTCTGTGACATAGTGGTTAGGTGCTTCGCCAACACATGCAGGAGAGTGCGATTTCCGTGTGCAGAGAAATGTTATCGAATATCTCTGTCTTCCCTTCCTCCTGGGACGTTGTATACCTCGCAGCCTGGGTTGGTACTGACAGGCTGGGTCTCGCAGCCCGCCTCCTAGCTATGATCTAAATAGTGTCGATGGAAGCGTAAAAATTCTACAATTACATAATATTTTATTCACGGGGCTGCTCAGTCCGTCCCACTGAATAAGAATAGAAAACAATGTGTTCACACTTATGCTAATACCTCACCGTACATCCCCCTCCCTCCTAGACGCATAGGCCTATACATTGTGCCCCAGAATGCACACTCACAAACACACACACACACACACACACACACACACACACACACACACACACACACACACACACAAACTTATATGTGCAAAACAAATTAAGCAAATTTCTGCTATCCTTCTAATGATGAAAAAAGTAGCCCGCAGGGACATCGCAAAACATAGACAGAAACAACAACATCAAAGGACAAAAGTAGAACAAGCAGGTGGTATTCTCCAACTACCAGAGTTCTGAAAATAGATTAAGTCTTTTCAGAGCAAAGCAACACTAATTACAAGGGCATGCCCCACGGAACAGATTTGTTTATGTGTGCAGCGGAAACTGTTGCACATAATTATATTCTAAGGACCACAGACCTCAGACATTTGTCTACCTGTTCGGGAACATAATTCATGACGCACGTACACAAGCTGGGTTCATGCTATCGAACATATTAGGTCTATACCAGCATGCTTGAGCCTGTAATTATGGGGCTGATTGCGTGCGCCCCAACTAGATTTCCAAGAAAAAAAGTGCGTCGCTGCACCGCATCCGGTTGTGGATTTTGAATTGCAATAACAGACATCCACGTCGATACAGATTGGACGTGGCGTTAGCTCAGTTGTTATCAGGTTGTGCTGTTGAGTGGATGGCCCTGGTTCGAATCCTTAATGAGGCGTTCTGAACTTAAGTTGTTTTGGGGAGTTTTATGGCTCGTCGCCCGTTTGGCTCGGTTCAATCGGAGATGGACTAGCCAATAAAGGAGTTAGAAATTGTTTGTTATTCCCGTAACGCACTTCTCAACTCAGGCGAGAACAAGTCGGTCTCGCGATGAGAGAAAAGAGAAAAGTAGAAAGGAAGAAATAAGAAAGGCTCTGGTAAGAGAATAATATGAATGCATCTATGCCCCCCCCCCCCCCACACACACGCGCGCGCGCGCACACACTTTCTCCCTTCAAAAACCTTATTATGGTGACTGTCGCCTTTGTTTACTGAGAGCATGAAATGGTATTTATTTAATGCCAATTTGAAAAAGAAATGTTTTTCTGACGAGACAGAATCTTCGAATCCAACATCTACCTCCGACAGGACCTAGACAAATTGGCAATTAGCCGCAAATATCCCCCAATAAATCGACTTAAAAATGCAATGTTATGGATTCGATTTATTTGCACCGTCGTCCAGAGATGCAAATCCTCATGTCGCAATGTTCGGAGTATATTAGCCCATTTTATTTTTCTCTCGTTGTTTAATTAAGCTTTTAATTCCTTATTTTTTAAAACCTATTTACACTACCTCATTTTGTCTTTAGCAGTTTTGCGGGGAGGCAGTGGAGGAGGCGATTTTTATTATTTTTAATTGGGGGGGGGGGGGATAAGCAACATTCCTCTAAACTTTAAAGGATGAAATGAGATATCTTACCTCGTAAATCCATACTGAAGTGGTCAGAACCTGGTTCTTCTCATCCTGTGGAGTGCAAAGCAAAAGTAAGTATTTATTATCTATTTTTTGACCGACTTTTGAATAAGGCTGCATTTAAATGGCACAACAAATGAACAGAAAAACAATGAACAAACAAACTAGAAAAGCAAAAAGAAGTGAAGACGAAATACAAGCAAGCAAATTGAGGGGAAGACAAACGAGAAAAGAGCTAAGAAAGTTAAGAAATTTTAAAAAATTATTAAAATCAATACAAAGAAAGGAATGAAAAATTATGGTCAAAAGCATAAACGAGGAAATAAAAGTGACTCTCACCAAATCCAGCAGCTGATTTAGCGACAAAGCGAAAGTCACCATGACAGTGTGACTGGCGTTGGTCACGGGCCTGGAGTCAGGGAGGTATCCGGCGAACAGGTCAGTGTACAGACGATGTTCTGGCCCCACAAAACCCTCACCTTCCGAAGCTGATGAAAGACAATAAGATAAGATGAGGAGAGATGACATGTGAAGAGCTTAAGTGAGGTGAGGTGAGATGCGGTGAGGTGAGGTGAGGTGAGATGAGGGGAGGTGAGGTGAGGTGAGGTGAGACGAGACGAGACGAGTCCAAAAAAGAGAAGAGAAGAGATCAGATGAGATGAGCTGAGGTGAGGTGAGGTGAGGTAAGGTGGGGTGCAGTAAGATGAGATGAAGTGAGATGAGATGGGGGTGACATGAGATGAGATGCACAATTCACATTATTAGAGAAGATGAAACAAGATCAGATGGATGGTAATGTATGTTAGAGAAAGAATTATTATAGTGGATCAGATAAATAAGAAAGGCATGACTAGATGTGAAGAGTTGAGAGATATTTAATTAGACAGGATGAGTTACAATAAATACATGTAACGAACATAGACACCATTTGTTTCTAAGGTGCTAGTTAAACTTTCCTCAGCATCTTCTTCAGTAGTTGCACAAAGTTTATTAACATAGTGAGCTGTAGAAAGAAATAACTTCACTGTAATGCGATTGGATTTCTAATATTGCACGGGTTTGTTTTGATAAACAGAAAACAAATCTTATGGTTCGTGAAGTTTACAGGCGTCGATGAAGAACGTTTGTAAAAGAGATTCCTGTGACCTGCATTTTTTTTCCTCCAAAATCTGGTTTCGAAATTTTTACTACTCTTTTCATTAACGAAGATCGAAAATAGCTTACGTGCTTTCAAAATGTGAAATCAAATTGAAAAAAGTGTAAGATGCAGAAGGGAAACAAGAATCTCAAAATCTGCTCCTAGGAAAAATAAAGATTGAGAAGGAATATCTCGATCGAACGTGCATTGAATTTGCAATTCCAATAGAAGGGGAAAAAACCCAGTGCATGACGATGATGTTCTTCCCAGTCGTTGGAAGGGAGTAGCTTGGTGGTCTTACAAGTTGCAGCTACTGGACTGTGCTTATATCCAATTAGCTTTTTCAGTGTCACGCAGACCTACGACGCGTGAAACTCTGATTCAAATCAACAAACGGGCGTTCCCAAGAAGTTTTTTTTTGTCAGATCCATTTGTTTCAGCCCTGCGTTTAGTATACATCATTGGCCTTTTATACGTTATGAAATTATTATGGATAAACTTCACAAAAACGTGTTACGTTCGAGTTTTGCAAATAGAAGTGTTAAAATCAACGATGATGAAGTTGAAAAATGAACGTTAAAAATTGATGCGAAGAAAGCAAGGACTATGAGATAAGATGGAAACACGCCACGGGCAATAAGAAAATTGTCAATGTGACAAAAAAGCAGTAAGCTAAAGACGAAGGCAAGAAATTTTTTAAATTTTTTTTGGTAATCAGGAAGAACAAAATAAAACAAACATTAATTCTAGGCGATAAAAAGAAACGGAATTAGTGAAAAACAAAAATGACATATATAAATATATAT